GAGTTTGTCTTTAACGGACTCTGCCTGCAACCCACGGACAGATCCAGAGCTGAGGAACGAGACTCCTGAAGGTGCATGACATCAGCCTGGATAAGAGGGTCCATAACTGAAAGAAATCAAGCAAATTTAGGTGTCAATAACCTGGCCAATGTGGACTCTGCAGACTCTGATAACTGTACTATTCTTCTATTATTGAATCTGAGAGCTACTTTCGATATAGTAGATCACCGCATCCTGTTAAAAAGATTCAATCTTTAGGTTGCCATTTGTGATACTGCATTAGATTGGTTTGCATCGTATCTCACGAAGAGTTTTTTTGTGGAAATTGGTGAATTTTCATCAAGCTAAGATCCCATCACTTGTGGGGTACCCCAGGGCTCTATTTTAGGTCCAATTTTAGTCTCCATGTATTTGCTCCCTCTTCGTTTTATATTTCAGTCTCATAAAGTTTCATACCACACTATGCAGATGATACTCAGCTTTATTTCCCTAAATTAATCAATTTCCATTTATTGTCCCCATTGCTGGCTTGTTTAGAGGACATCACGAATTGGATGGAAAATAATTTCCTTCAGTTAAATAAAAAAAAAGACTGAAGTTATTTTGTTTGGCCCTCCACCCCTTTTAAATAATTTAGCCCTACTCTTGGCCCCTTTGAAGAAAACATCCGGGAAAAAGTTAAAAATCTGGGAGTTATTTTTGACACTGAACTAAAATTTGACAACTAAATCAGTTCTGCAAGCTTAAAAACATTCTTAGTTTTTATGATTTGGAGGTTGTTATTCATGCATTAATTTCAACCAGGCTGGATTACTGTAACACTCTTTATGCTAGAATTTATCAGTCTTCACTTTATCCATCAGATCGTCCCCCAAGTTATCATCTTTTAAAACATATTTTTTCTCAGGCTTTTGCTTAACTTTTCTCTCTCTTTTCTTTGTTAGGTGATGTCTTGTATTATTTTGTATTTTTTTTCTTTCTTTTCTTGATTTCCTGTTTTTATAATTAGTATTTAATGATTTTAAAATGTGTATGTCCTAATGCTTTTTGTTGGTTGATTTTTTTTTCTTCTGATGTTTTGGCTGTGCAGCACCTTGGTCAGCAGCACACGTTGCTTTTAAGGTGCTATATAAATAAACCTGACCTTGACTCTGTTGGTGAAAAAAATAAAAATAAAATCAACATAGTAGAAGAGTAAAAATAAATGACAATAATAATAATAATAATAATGATGATATAGAATCATCAAATTTAGCTAATAATTTAATAACCTGACCAATTTGCTGGGTATATTACAATATGTTAGTAAAGTACAAATCAACATAGTAAGAGTAAAAAAATACAAATGAAATAATAATGATAATAATAATAATATCATCAGTTTATCATCATCAAATTAGTATAATAATTTTTAAGTTAACTACCTGTCCAATATTGTCTCTGCTGAGTGTACTGCAATGTGTTAATAAAGAAGAAATCAACATAGTAAATTAATAATATTAATAATCATAATAAAATCATCACATTCAGGACTTAACAGCCTGGCTTATTACAATATGTTAATAAGGAAAAATCCACACAGTAAATAAAGAAATAAATATATAACCTGGGCAACATAAACTAAAGTAAAAAAAATAAAATAAAAAAAAATAGATAAATACATAAATGAATAAAATGCACTACAGCAGATACAACCATGACATACATTGAATAATTAAAAAAAATTATAATAATTATAAATTTAAGAATGTTACATTTATACAATTGTACTGCAAAATAAATAAATTATGCATCATGCTAAACACTGATTCATACTAAGTAGAGAAATCACGGTTCTGTCATTTCTTATAGAACTCAAATGTGACCCCGACATGCTAGATGTACATGTTTTCAATACTTAACTAAGAAGTAAACTTAAAAAAGTGCTCCTTAACAAAATACAATCTCTTCTGATTGTGCTCCCAACGTGAATCTGAAAGCAAACGCATCCTACAGACTGACAGATTAACACACAAACCCAAAACAGAAAAGCAAAGTAGTTCTGTATGCCCATATTAATAAATATGATGCACAATAGTATCTGTTAATGCGGTTTATATTGGTTTCATGAGTTGCACTGCGCCATGTTGTGATCGATCTATTGATTGATATTGATGAAGCCAGAGGCTGACTCACTTCCACAGCTAACGCTAACCAGGTGTCAATGTAACACTGGGAGACACTTACCAGAGAAATAACGCGTCCCTTTAATACCCAGAGTTACTGAGCATATTATCAAAGGCACGGGTATTAAAAAAATTAATTTGGTCTAAAACACGTGTATTAATGATATAAAAGAGTAAAACTACTGGCGAAAGCTGGACAAGGCAATTCTTCTGTTGAACTGCGTGAATCCTGCTAAACATGGCGACCGGAATACGCAACACAATAGAACTGCTTTCAAAATAAAAGCGAATTGTTCGGTAAAAATAGGCAATTTATCATTTATTGTGTGTCATCATTTGGCGTACTCATCTCCATGAATGTATAAGAGCATACAATGGAAAGAAAATATACACTGCCGTTCAAAAGGTTGGAATCAGTAAGATTTTAATGTTTTGTTTTTTATGCTCATCAAGGCTGTATCTATTTGATCACAAATACAGAACAAAAATAACAGTTTTCTTCTATTTCAATGTACTTTAAGATATAATTTATTCCTGTGAAGCAAAGCTGGATTTTTCGACACTTCAGTGTGACATTATCCTTCAGAAATCATTCTTATAAGCTGATTTATAATCAATGTTGGAAACAGTTGTGCTGCTCAGTAGTTGTTGGAACCTGTGATACTTTCTTTCAGGATTCTTTGATAAATAAACAATTAAAAAGAACAGTGTTTATTCAAAATATAAATTTTGGGTTACAATATACACTACTATATTCAAAAGTCTGGGTTCGGTATTTATTTTGTGTTAAATGGATAAAAAGTGATAGCAAAGACTTATAGTGTTAGAAAAGATTTTTATTTTGAATAAATGCTGTTCTTTTAACTTTCTATTCATCAAAGAATTAAAGAAAAAAGTATCAGGTTCCAAAAAATAAAAAAATGTTAAGCAGCAAAACAGTTTCAACATTGATAAATCAGCATATTAGAATGATTTCTGAAGGATCATGTGACACTGAAGACTGGAGTAATGATGCTGAAAATTCAGCGCTGCATCACAGAAATTATTTCACAATATTACTGTTTTTTTTCTGTATTTTTGATCAAATAAACGACTCCCAAACTCTTGAACGGCAGTGTAGCTAAGAATAATAAATAGCTAAATGTTAAAGTTACAAATTTTAAATAACTAAGAAAGGTAATATATATATATATATATATATATATATATAAACTATTGTAATGGTGAAGTGACCTGAAGAATGTATATTTCCACACAAACTCTGCTTGACTGAAACCTGGCTAAAGGCCGGACGCTCTCCAGACACCGGAGGATCCCTTCCCTCCAGCTGCGGGCGAGCCCGCAGAACTCCCGGGCATACTCGACAAAGGGGAGATCTCTGCAGGCTAGGGCTAAGAAACGTGCGGCGATTTCCATGAACGCGGGGAGAAACAGGAAAAACAAAAAGACTTTTCAAAAAACGGAAAAGAACCACGGGGAGAAGAGGCGCCGCTCACTTCTTGTTTCGGGTCCGGTATTCTGTCACGGTTGCACTACTGAGTGGAGTACGGAGCAAGGAACGGAGGGAGACGAGGAGTACATCAATCCAGAGAAGTTTAATTACAATAAGGAAACAAGGAAAACTCACGAAGCACAGGTAGACATGAAAAATACCGGACGCTGAACTAAAAACAGGGAACACTATTTAAACACATGACAAGACGAGGGGATGACTAGACACACCTGGGATCAATGGAAATAAACGGGGAACACCTGGAATTAAATCAACATAATCAGGACAGGAACAGGAAACTAACCAAATATGGGCAAGGAGGGCACATGGGGAGCAAAACACACACAAAACACGGAACAAAGTCTGACAGAGACAAGGTTGGCTGATATTCATAATATATTTTTTCTGAATTTTTTTTTATTATTTGTCATTTAGTAGTTACATTGTCATTTGGTAAGTTTTTTTTTCTGTCTAAGGTCATTATACTATTTATGGCCATTTATTACCCACTCTCTGAAAAAAAAAATTATTATATGACCCATTTACAGTAAGTAGAAAAAACAGCATTAATAAGTGAACTGATTCAAAATGCATCATTAGCTAAAAATGTTCAAGGAAACATGGAAAAGTAAAAATGTTCAGAAATTAAATATTTTAGTAAAACTATATATACACTGTAAGTAAACATTACTGTTTACTACTATGCATTGTTATATTAGGGCATTAAAATGTTAATTATTAATATAATTTCAGTGAAAAACATGTGGAAAGTTAAATAAATAAATACATATTTTATAATTAAAATATAATTTCTTACATTAAACATTACAAATTTACTTGTTTACAGTAGCTATATGGTGGATGGGAAAAAGGTCCTCCTTTTTAAACCACTTAAGTAAATGTAAGTAAATATCTGCTATTAACTGAATAATGTCAAAAGGTGATTTTTTTTTTTTTACACATCACCCAGCCCTATTCAGAAATTTAACAAAGTCCAGTTAGTATCAAAGAGTGCTTTACACTCTAATTAGTCAAAAACACATAATTTGCCCTACATTTTTAAACTTCTATTCACTGGTGAACACTGACTGTAACACCTAAATGCAACTATTGTTCAAATATTTGGGGTCAGTAAACATTTTTATATATAAAATAATACTTTCAACAAAAATGCATTTTAAAAAAGTGACAGTAAAGACATTTAAAATGTTACAAAAGATTTATATTTGAAAATATATTAAAATAACGTTTTCATTTTTCAATTGTAATAATATTTCAAAATACTGCTGTTTTTACTGTTTTAGCATTAATGGGCAAAAGGAACAGCATTGTGCTGTGTAATTACTCACATGTTGGAAGTGAGGAACAATGCAAGGAAATAGTAGTTGCCTGGACCCAGGAGTAACATGATCACAGCAGATCCGGCCTCCACGTAGAAGGTGATCAGAATGAGTCTGTAGTAGCCAAACTTATGGAGCAGATTCTGGCTGCACAAAACCAACAACTGTAGAAGAAAACATATCATTAAATATCATTAAGATATTTATATATTTATGTTAATTATTGTTATTTATTTGGGTTTTGATTTGGCTCTTAGTAATGATGCGAGGCATAAAATGATTTTATCCTTAAAACGGGTTTATTAAATACCACCCAAGTATGAATGACACTATTAGTAATGCTTGCTACAACCAGTGTTGGGGAAAGTTACTTTTAAAAGTAATGCATTACAATACTGCGTTACTCCATAAAAAAGTAACTTGTAACTAATTACGTTACTTAGTTACTGTTAATAAAAAAGTGATGTTGCTTTACTTTTGCGTTACTTTTTCTCACCTGGGCTGGGCTTGCTAACAAAAAATAAATGAATAAGGATAAAGATCTTTGCACACCGAGTCTGAAATTCTCGTCCGAAATTTTTGCACGTTAAAAAATAAATACGACCTCACGTTGTGTCAAACACGTTTGCCTCCAAAATTTTCGTCCATCATTAAAAACTCGGATGAGGTTCGATTTTCTGTGTTTACGCATCCGTAGCAAGCATTTAGATAGGAAAGGATAACGAATACGCAGTGCCGATCCTAGACTTCTGGGGGCCCTACGCAAAACTGTGTCGGCGGGGGAGGGTATGAGTGGTTATGAACGAATGAATGAAATGCATTTGTCCGTGTTTCACTCCGTCTCGAATCACGCTCGCGGAAAGCACTTGAGAAACAGTGTCTCTTCCGTGGCTCAGTACACTTTCAACTCGTTTTTTTAGTCTCGAGCAAGACTTTACGACATTCACATCACATGATTTGACTGATTTTTAAGTAGAAATGGTGACAACGCACCGCATTAAAAGAAATTATCATTCTTGTTTTCATAACCGCTGGCCAAATTAAAAAACTAAACTAAAATGAAATCATCTTTGAGAGCAAGGGGGCCCCCTGGTGTTTCGGGGGACCTACGCAGCTTGCGTATTTTGCGTATAGGGAGGATCGGCTCTGCGGATACGAAAAAACGCATACAAAAAGTTTGGACTCAGTATGCAAGGACCTTAACACTCTTATTTCAGCAATAAATAAAAAGTGACACAAATGTGATGTTTAACTAAAGTAATTTTTGCTCATAACAGAGTTTGCATTTTACTGTTTTTATTTATTTCTAGGAATACTGAATCTGTTTTTGAGCAAGTGAGATGAGTTAAGCCTAGAACTACAGTAACATGTTCACGCAGTGCACACAACGCTTCTGCACGTACTCCTTTAATTTGCGTTACTTATTTGAAAAACTCAGATATTTTGTTGTAAATGTAAAAGTTAATGCATTACTTTACTAGTTACTTGAAAAAAGTAATCTGATTACGTAACTTGAGTTACTTGTAATGCGTTACCCCCAAAACCGACTACAACTATGATGCACCTGAGGACAGATGAATCCAGCTCCATACATGACACTCTTGGCAAGCGATGGCAGGACATCCTGAGGAATGAGGTGCTCTGCAAAAATCATGGTGAAGTTATTGCAGAACGCCACCATGAACACCTGGAAAAAGTTCATGATTACGAACAGCTGGAAGTCTCTGTTGGTAATGATCTGCCAGGTCATGGACATCACGGACGACACCGAGAGCGGCGGCTTCTGAGGACTCTGGGAATCTTCTTCAGAGGCTTTACTGTCAAATCGACTCTCGCTGTTGAAGCCCGTGTACAGCATGCAAACACAGGCCAATATGGCCACAACCACGCTGAAGCCCTGGAAGGCAGCAAAGTTGTCCATGTTTCCGGAGACGAGACCACAGAACAGCACACTGGAGGAGCCCACCAGAGACGCCACTTGGCTGTATTTAATCAGCCTCAGTCTGTTCTGATGGTGACCGGAGATTTCTGCGAAGAGGGCGCACTGGGCTAACAGCACGAATGTGAGCATGCCATCAAAAGCGCAGAGGGTCACCATGAGGTGGACGCCGCTCAGCCAGTCTTCCGGCTCGTATGTCCTCCACGGGAACCACGCCAGCAAGAAAGACAGACAGTACAGCGGGGCTCCGTATAAAATGGAGAGCCTCCTCCGTGAGCAACACTCCATACGCGAGTTGTCTTGCAAATATCCAAACAAGGGGTCATTCAGTGCATTCCAGATCATAAAGACAACCTGCGGAGACATAACTGTGGGATCTTTAAAGGTCCAAATAATATTTTAAATAAGCAGATTTATATAATGTGTATAATAGCACATGAGCAACTTAAAATGTCAGTAACACATATTATGTTCAATGCTGACGTTGTGCTTGCTTTAATTTGATTTTAACATGTATGGCTTTGTTCTTCTACAGAACACAAAAGAAGATATTTTGAAGAACAGTTTTGGCTACCAATAATAACTTTACATTGTATGGACAAAAACCAACAAACAAACAAAAAAGACAGGTAACACTTTATTTTGATAGTCCACTTTAGACGTTCTACTAGCTGTTTTGTCTGTATAAGAGATAAATAAGAGGGAATGTTTATGGAAACCCAAGGTTTATGGGATGTTGTTGTGAATCAGTTTGATATATCATTACTTGCTGAATTTGTGCTCATCTGACGAAGTTTGAACATTGAGACATACGCAACTAAGATTGTTCAATAAGCTCTGTTACTCTTTTTACCATCATCACTTTGTCTCCTGCTTCTGCTCTTCTCTGGCTTTTCTCGGTCAACTTCTTGACTGACAGAAGACTGTTAAACACTCGTTTTGGGTATTTTTGGATACCAGACAAGACAGGGTTTGGGTATCAACAACTCTGCTGACTAGTTGTTCTGTTACTGGACAAACTGATATTTTCTGACGGGATCTGGCATCCGGGGCTGGATCCTAATTATTATCTGGCATGGAGACCCGATCTAACAGAGCAGTGGTTCCCAACCCTGGTCCTGGAGGCACCCCAACACTGCTCATTTTGCATGTCTCCTTTCTCTGACACACCAATTTCAGGTCTTGGAGTCTCTACTAATGAGCTGTTTGATTAAGGAGACATGCAAAACGTGCAGTGTTGGGGTGCCTCCAGGACCAGGGTTGGGAACCACTGTAACAGAGTATTAGAGGACTATTAGGTTAGGGCTAGTAACCAGGGGTAGGCAAGTTCGGTCCTAGAGAGCCGCAGTCCTGCAGAGTTCAGCTCCAACCCTAATCAAACGCACCTGAACAAGCTAATCAATGTCTTCAGGATTACTAAGGCTATAGGCAGGTGAGTTTTGTTTTCAGGGAGGGAGCTGAACTCTGCAGGACTGTGGCTCTCTAGGA